CCCATCGGGATATGTCATGGTTGTCTCGGTCAGCAAATAGTACAGAATTCATGATTCTGGCAGATGATATGAATGCTCAGATCGGCCGATTGGGTCGGTTTGAATTTGGCGTTCGCCACAGTTAATGAATAGCAACTTCTTCCGTCACATACTGAACATCGTTTATTTCTAGCCAGTTCAATCTGTCGACACGAGCGCTCACCCCGTGTGACTTAGAGATCACCAACTGCAAATCATCTGTGGATTCATTCGGACCATGTAGCAGTCAGCTACTGATGGTTAACTTTCATACGATACTGTCATTCGTTTTAGCAACTGTCAGATTTTCTTGAAATTCTAATCATTTACTTCGCGCTTGAATTCAGTCGGGCATGACAGAAATTTGTCAAAAGTGAGAGAGGGTGTGAAGGATCCACTTTAACAACAGTCAGTTTATAGTGAAATTCTGTGCTTCGCAAACGAGCGTACCACGAGAACGCGCGTTAAAAGGAAATAAAGGGTTTTTTATACTTGACGTTTTCTCGTGACGTGACTCCGTTAACGTGAATTTTTCGTATGACTTCTCGTATATCTTTCTCCAACAAACCATCCCGGAAGAATGTTTTCAGGTTATTGACTAGTATAACATATCTATTCGCCTTCCATCTTGCAAACGTCGTTGGTACAAAGCTATGTGCTTCACCGCATGCCAAGCGTCTCTTCAGCTCAACTGTATCTAGTTAGGTCGGCTAAGAAACTATCAGATCAAAATAATGATTCCAATGACGATTAGAGAAAGGTTAAAGAAGCCATTCTCGTAGCATTTGATACTGTCCATCTGAGGTCGTTCACACATTCAGTCAACACAAGGTCTCGACGTGATCAGTAGCTCTGCTTGATTCAGGAATTATACCATACAAAAATGACTGATGGTGGGCACAGACCCCTCAAACACCGAATGATGAGGAGCCAAAGAATCGACGGAGAGCGTTGGTAGAACGCAAAATTAAGGAAAACGATCACACCCTGTTCCAGCTAAAGTGATCAGCTGGTCCGAGGGTGGTGGGTGTTAGTGAAACGAACTCAAGAAAAGGTCGGACCTCAGTTCACCCATAGAACTGTAGTCGTGAACGATGGGCTGAAAAAACTTGAAGATCGGTTCAGCTGGTGCCATCAACTCACCCCCCGGAAGAACCAAATAAACCCGAACGGAACGTCGACATCACTTCGCCATGGACAACGGAGTTCTAGCGAAAGAAATTTTTTTTACTTCAGCTCAGCAACATATATAGTCCAGACAGCTTGCATCTCGCACTCTTTAGAGAGATGGCTCAGTGGTCAAGGCCTGAATTTACTGACCGGATGGTCCGTGGTTCGAACCCAACCTCTGCATATCGGCAGCTCTTGTCTAGGCGTGAGAAACTTGTAGTTATCTCGGCCCTCATGCCTCCTTCGGGTGGCATGACAGCTAGGCACCGGAAGGGTGCTACAGCCTAGCCATTATTTTATTATTATAGAGAAGGCGGTGAGTTCTTCATGGCTAGCCCTACTCCAAACTATTTGGAGCGAGGAAAAAATATCGACAGGATGGAGCACTTCAGCCGTGATTCCTGAATCCAAAAACTGTGAGAACCTAGTGCGAAAACCACGAAAGCGTTAGTTTAGTGTTACAGTTTTCAGGGTACTTTGGTATTATCCTACGAAGGTTGATCAATCATCGTAAGAGTCAGATTCGTAAGCATCAAGCCGGGTTTTGTCCTGGCCGGGGTCGTATCGGTCATATCTTCACTTTGCTTCGTCTGTTGGAACTGCGCCATTCCTTCCGACGACAAAAGTTATCGCCTCTTTCAATCTCAGGTCTGCTCTTGACTCCGTTGATTTTCAGAAACTGAGGCAGCGTTTGGTGATGAATGGAGTCTCCTCTGAGTTCCGGTATTTTATTAAGGCCTTATGTGTCCCCTATCGTGGACGCGTATGTGTGTACGGCAAATTCCTTCCTGAGCTCACCACATCTGCTCGTGTCGAACATGGGTGCCCTCTGTCGCCCTCTCTCTTCAGCTTCTTACTCAATGCTACTTTAGTCTTTATCTACTTTTAACGGCTCGGAGGTAGAAATACTTTTGGTGCGTTCGCTGACGAACGTCGAGTACGCGAGCAGTATTCCCCTTCTTGTCTGACACCCCTAAGAAATGTAAACTACTGTACATAACCTAAATAATTCCGCACGGTGCGATACTTCCTCCGGGCCTGTAAAATGTGAAGTGTTATTGCTAGATCGGCTTGGATTGAGCCCAGGCTCTATGCTTGCAGGTGAACCAATCAATGCGTTGGGTAAATCTGAAACAAAAATTTTTTTCCAGTTTATGAATATTGAGCACTGAAAAAAGATTATCTAGCCGGCAACTATTGCGAACCTCTTCCTTGTGAGATGAGATATTGTGGACGATTAAAAGCTCGAAAGCGTAACAAAACGAAAATCTGAGAATTGAATTTGGACTGTTACTTAGTAATAATAGTAATTGTTCGGTTGCCATACTCTTTCTATGCTTGACTGCCACGTCACCCGAAGGAAACACGGGGTCTGGGTTGCTGCTGAGTTGTTCTGGCCTAGACAGGAGCAGTTGAGATGCAGAGGTCGGGTTCAAACCATGGGCTCACCTCTTCCTAACGCATATCTTTTGTCTGCTGATTCTTAGTTTCTAAGCAATTTATTTGAATAATGGATCACGTGTTTGCGGTTCAGCGTTTCGACATAGACACAAATCCTTCTGATACTTTGGATGCCTTGAGTCATTTTCGCCATACCTTCGGAAACCACCACCTGGTGGGATCGGAGTATCCTGCATGCAGCAGATATGCAGCTTTTACACAACCGACATCTGCCGACTTCGACTAAACTAGAGGCTGAAGATAATTTGGATCAGCTCCTTCGAATGCTCCAATCTCTGTAAATTCCAATTGATCATTGCCATACAGCATTCTCGCAATGCCTCTGGAACCAACTGTTCTGCATCCATCCACTGAAAATTTCACACTTGCTTTATCATGATTTACCTTTTCTTAATTGCAGTAATTTGTTTGCTCTGTTTTACTGACCCCCCCCCCACTAAAGACTCTGCAGAAGAGACTGGACCTTACCGTGGTGTGACGGTTTGCGCACCTCAGCGATCCATTGAGCTATACTGGAGAGTGTCCCGCGACACTCACAGAGTCTCTCATACCAGGTTGGTCAATGGTTAGAGGTCTGACGAACACAGTCTCCTGGCCCTCCAAGTTGGGGGTTGGAACATGTGGCGACTTGTTCCGTAGAAATGGTAATGCATTTGCATTTCCCGCCAAACACCGCTGCCTTGCAGTTAGGCTTTTGAGCCAAAGGCTTTGGTTGAGGACCCTAATCGTCCTCCTCCTCCTGTCTAGGTGTGGGCGCCCTGGCAGCATCCCAGCCCACGTACAACCATGAATAGCACATACACAAGTTCTTGTTGTCAGTTTCTGTCCAGATTGCCTGAATGAATGTCTGGAGGTGTAGGCACCTCGGAATGATTGTGTTAAGCTAGCACTAAGTCCCTCCCCCATCCACCTTTATTCTTTTCTTTACAATAAGGCTTTCAAATAAGTCATGGCTGTACGGCAGTGAAGCATTGGTGTTGAGCACTGATGTCATGCTGTCGTTGATGATGATGATGATGAGATGTTTTTTTGGAAATATTACCGGTTTTAAGATGTTTGTCATTTATGTTCCTATTCAAGGCGGTAAACTTCTGTTTTGAATCCACTATTTGTCGTCAGTAGCCAGGTTTTTTTTGCTTCATTTTTGTTATTTATTTTTGGTGCTTCTTCATCACCTCGAGCGGAGACCGGTTGAAAAGATTTCTCATTTTCAATTTTTCCGTACGCTTGATCTTGAAAGCGCGCATCATTGGTGTTAAAAAATCCCTATGGTGATTTTGAAGCCTCGAACAATGCCGCTATGTTTTCTGAAGATGACATGATCTGCATAACTTTTTAACTCTGGTGGAAATGTACGGACCATCTTCGAACTCAGATTCACATGCGCTGGGAACTCACCCGTTACCGGGTTTCGATGTCGCCATGAACATATTTACAATCTCGTAATACTCAAATTCCAGTCGGAATTGTTGCTGTCGAATCATCCGTAAGCTCCATGAAGAATTTTTGAAACGTTTGCCTACTACTGACAATGGACGTTGCACCTTTCCGGTAAACTGCATCCGTATTTAAACCGTTCCTGCTTTTTCTGACTTAAATGTCAAGTTTATCGGAACAGCTGTGGTTACTGTCAATGGGAATGGAAACCCCATTGCCTTTTTAGACCAACGCGTCAGGTGTTGGTCTTTCAGTGAAACTATAGAAAAATTGTCCCGTCGCTTTTTCCGGAGAACATTATCTTCCATAGAGTGTTACCGTTCATCAGTAAGAAAAGATACATGCACAGCAAATAACGGCATACAGTTTTTTTTCTCGCCTTAATGTGATACACAGGAGTGAAACCAAGTAAGAAATGATAACTTGCGATGGGAAACTTAGCTGTATTCCTTCTCCTATGGTGTTGAATACCCGCCCAGTATGTTCCCTCTGGATGACCCCCGAACTTTCGCCTGGCTTTCTTTGTCATCCAGTTTTTAGTCACTTGTATCATTTCGTGCATGTATGAATTTCCGTTTTCTTCTGGGGTGGTGGTGGGTGAGTAAGGTTTACTGGTATTTACACTTCTATCATTGCGTATGCTCCGTATGCAACAATTGCTTATCTGCTTCAACTTGTTGTCACTCTGGAACTTTCCGATTAGGGAGTGTCAACACAAGCCTTCGGACTTCTGTGTCTCTTATTGCCTGTGTTTTGTCCGACGACTTCTAATTCTTCATACCGTCTCAGTAATCTTGAACGTCCTTCGACGCAATTCATTACTGTATCTACACTCCCCACGTGGCTTTTTCAGCGTAAGAGTCAACTTATCGTCGCCGGATTAAATTTCGATCGTGTGTTCGCTTTCGAATGATATGGATACTAGTGATTTCCACACAGTCTTGAAACGACTTCAAGATTATGACCTAGTATTGCTCGATCGGACCAGTTTGGATGTTTTGGGTTCTACCCTCATTGCATTGGGGCAGAAAAACTTGAAGCCGTTTGACTCCTTCCAGTTGCATTCAGTATGTTCATCAAGCCGTAAAACATTTGGAACGCTTCCTTTTCAGGATACCACTTCCACACAAAAGGTAGCATTCCTCCTTTTCTGCCCTCTCTCCGTACGAGTTCTCGAACACTTGTGCCAAATATGCAGCGTGTATCTCCAACTTACATGTGCCAATGTTTTTACACCCTACGTAGCCAGTGCAGTTACGCAACACCTAGACCAGTTCGTTGAACAACCGGACTATCCAGTCGGAGCACTGAAATACATCTCAAAGAAGGTGAGTTCGTTGATCAACTCAGTTTAACTCCTCCAGTTTGGTGCTATTCATCTGAAGTTCGAACACATTCCTTTCTTCTCACGGCTCACATTTTATCCGGATCTGATCAGCCTACCGAAGTTTCATGAGTTTGGTGAGGTAGGTTTTCTCTTTGAAGCGAAGTTGAACACACTGATTTTAGGAAACAGAACCCTTGCAAGGAGCCTTCCACGATCTGAATACTCTGTTATGGTCGATAAAGGTATATTTCTGTGATCAACGTGTACAGTCGATTATTTGGAATAAAATTGTGGAGGATCATATTACGAGTAGACGAGACGTTTTATATATTAAGATTTGATCTACTAACCGAATTGTTCGCAATTCAACTCCGTCCGTCACTTTTCAGTTTTCGCTGCATTGGCTTCGCTAACCTGAAAGTACTTCAGCTCTCATTTTCCTTCTTTCTGGTTGCCATTTTTACACCGAGAAGGAGTCACAGGTCTCTTGAATCGTATATTTCGGGGGGTTTGCGAACACTAAGAATCCGATTATATGTAATCTGGTTGTGTTCAACATATTTGTACCATAAGGAAACCATGATTTGCACTGAGTTAATCTTCATCATACTATTGGTCTCACACGATTATCATTCTCTGAAAACCTTTCGTTCATTTCAGTGGCCTTTGTTACAAAAAAAACTGCGGTGGAATGCATTACTGGTGCATTTGTAAGAGGTTGTATAATTAAGTATCTTTTGGGTGGCGGATTTCACCAGACCCAACGAGAGAGTCACCAAACTTTGACGCACCCACCTACAGCTTTGAGTTGAATACTGCAACAACTTTTTCGGAATCGTCTCTCCAATCAGTTTCCATACTTTTCCGTGGAATTCTGCCTGCATTAGGCAGTGAGTTGCAGATGATCGAATCCAAAGATAAAGTTTTCTTATTTCGAATTTTTCCGAAAGCGATGCTGTCAGTTTCAACGTATTCCTGAGTTTTCTCAGTCATGTTTTTCTAGGAACATCTGGCTGTTGCCAATCCCCTTAGTGTACTGAACATCCAGTATTGCTACGCACTCTCAAGAAAATGCTCGCGGTCGATGTGACATTTTCTGCACAAGTCGCTTAAGAACGGTTAGATAAGAACAACCTTCCAGATAAACATTGCGTTTTCCTGTTATACTAAGCTCATGTGCACTATACTTCGTGCTGTAGTAAACCGACTCACTTCAGCTCCTAATTTTTTGTTGCTATCACTTCACCGACCAGGTTTTTTCGTGCATGGTTTTCTTCATGGGACGCTCCTGGACTCCAACCCATATTACAGCCACTTGGACCGATCCAGTTGTATCTTGACGAGGAGAACTTGTATCCCAGTGCTAGATGATTGGCGCCTGTAGGCACTCTGTTACGAGTTCACCCGATTGAGCAGTCCAAAAGGCTCGTGCTTGTTGAGTCTATTTTGTCCCAAGTATGAAGTGGGATCATTTTGCATGCAATAATGCCTCACTTATACGGAGTTGTCCCCTCCTACCTTTCACTTCTTCAGGCTTTGGAAGAAGTCTATTCACTTGGACCCAACGCGGAGCGTATCGCATCCGAATTTGCCTCTGAATTCGCGCCGGCATTAGAAAGGAAAAAGGTTGGTATTTCAGCCTTCTGTTGCAATTTCAATGTTTTCATGCGCCCATCAGCTTGATGTGTATTTCTGCAATCAGTTGGATTTCAAACACTTAGGGATAGACGTAAAACGTGTTGCACAGAAGTACAGAAGTACGCTGTGGGTTTGCTGGTCTTGGTCTACTTCTCGTACACCAGATTTCCAACCACACGTTCACCCACACACTCGCAGTCACTTGCTGCGCAGACCCGTCACTTGTTCTCATTCCTTAGAACCGCAACTGTTATGGGCGAATTCACAACAGGGTGACCGGAAAATGGCTGTTTAGTGATATAATGGATACTTCACTCAGGGAGTGCATTCAGTGGTGACTCGGTAATGTCTGCAGAGAATACCTCAAAAAGCCTGAATTCTGTCGGTGTCGTCTGCTTGTCAGCGCCGCACTTATCCTGAGCACTGACGTTGCTGTTCAGGCTTCAATGAAATGTAAACTTGTCAAGGTACTCATTGGGTTTCAATTCCTGTTGTCTGCATCCGAACGCTACTTACCAGTCGGTCGAAATTTTTATATACACTCAGGTATTGGAAACTGCCCGTGCAATTATCCCCTAAAGATGGGACCTGTCAGATGAAGCTAAGTCGGTGGCCTTCGATAAGGTTCTTCTCCAGTCGGGTAGGGAGCAGCTGGGTCTGTGTTACTATCTGTGTGCGCTGATATCGTCGCTGACGAAATTTCCAAGCTCGCTATACAGTTTGGTCGTAAACATTATGGGGACGGGCGGAACAATTTACTTGGGTTTAGGAATTCCACCTTTGAGTTTGAGCACCGTCAACAAACAAATCCATTCCTGATTTGCTTCGGTGGAGCTTTCAGTAGAAGGACCACGTTTATCTTTTACCGTCTAGAGAATGGGCTTTCAGCTATGCTGAAGCGCTTTACCCGTCTGATGAATAAAGCCATTGGTATAGCTGGTTTCTCTGCTGAAAGTTTTGAACATCCCATTGTTAATTTGCTAGCAACTGGCCTGTGCTGTCGCCGCCTATCATATGTGGTATCTTTGTTTTCGGATTGTTGTCAACTGGCCGGTACAAATCGTGTTTGTGTTTGAGAAAAGATGCACACATAAGCTGTTTATCCCAACCTCACTGTGGAAGCTCACCATGCATTTTTTCTTATTTGGAGGTCTGTCCAAATAGAGTCGGACTGCACACACAGTCCCGACGTTTTCATTATCATTATTTCATTGATTACACTCACTTTTGACGTTCCTTTCAGCACCTACACTCATTCGGAGGCTCTTGTTCAGTTTCCGTTATTTTTATCAATGATTTAACCGTCTGTGACCCAGTAGCCTGCATCGGACCGTACATCAAACCTGGTCATCTGCTGGATTTGGTATTCACCGAGCTTTCGCCTGATGGCCACTCAGTCAAAGTGTGTTGGGACACACTGATGAATCAGTAAGTTTCCTTGATTTGTTTCTTTGCTCCGTAGAGGTTGGAAATTAATGGAACCCTAATGAAACTACTTCTCGTAGGCTTTTTTCCTGTCGAATGTTGTGATTGGTAGCTCTTCTTCCTCCTCATTCATCATAGGGAGCTGAGTTCAGTATCAGCTCAGCAGGTCTTTTGATGCCGGACAACGTTCAAAATGTTCGAACGACCATGACCTTCCCTACAGTGTCACATTTTTTAGAAGCCGAGAACTTCAATTGCCACCTGGAAACCCTGTTCCATGTGGTGCATCACCCCCAGTGTTTATTTCCTCAAGATTTTTTAAGTGCAAAGTTGTTGGTTTCCATAAAGCGACCACCCTTCTTCGACCCGGATGAAACCCGAAATTCCTTAAAAGGTCCTTACACTCCTCATTGTGGACCACTTTTCCAGAAAGCACGAACACTAATGAACATGGCAGCTCATATATGTTTGGCATTAACAGTCCATGATGTTCGAATACCACGTTCAGCTTTGTTGGTTACTCCCGATTTACACTACTGATATATTAGAACTCCAGAGCAGAAATCGCCGTCATGAGCACGAGGGAAGTCACTCCCCCTTGATTTACTATGGGAATTGCCATACTTAAAAAGACTTCTTGTCCCTCCCAACGGTCATCTTTCGACTCCGAAGCAGAGCCACATTCAGCAACACCACAACTAGACAAAAATTGTCCAATGCTGATTTCTGCATTCTCCTGATCAGGCTAACATCCGAATCGACATGTGCCATATTTACATATACAGCTGCTCATGATTGTCACTTGCATACACTTCGACTGACGGATTCTTGCAGAATCGATCAGTCTATGCACAAGCTTATCTCTCTTAACTCTCTGAATTTTCACTTCTAATGCATCCTCCATACCGAAGAAATATGTCATCTCCGCACTCCATAACTTCATTCATCCAATTTATTAGGTGCGGGTTGTGAAGATTCATTCTCTCACCATTACTTGCATACATGAAGCACAGCCTAGTCCTCATATTTCTGTTGGTTAAGCCATCGGGTACGTCTCGCACTCAGGGACCAAGTCATACTTTGAACAGAGGATTCGTTTGTCTGATATCCATGACCACGCCTGGCAGCTCATCAACGATCTCCTGACAGCGCTCTCTTCCACATATTTCTATTTACTCTATGCAAAATCGACAGAAGTGAAGACGGCACAGGGGGAACATTGCAAAGGTAGAAAAATGTTATATCGATTTATCTAGGCAACCTGGCAGTATCTAAACCCTCGTACTTCCTTCGGGTGACGGCAGCTAAGCACTGAAAGGATGTCGCTGATAAAAGATCCAATTTAATGTCATTAATGCAATATTGCTGTCAATTTCGATGGTTCCCACATTGAACCGGATCACGTGCTTGTGAGTTTCGATGTTATATCGTCATGCGCGAATGTGCTGAAAGGAGGCTTTTCAGAAATAGGCAAGCAGTTACTGTTTTCGGATAACCCACTTCTTCATCACAATAGCCGATGAAACTGTCGACCCGATTTTCAACACTGATCTAGCGTGTCAGTCGAATGAGATTGATTAGCCGGCTTTAAAACTCATCCACTACCCAATTGGCCTGACGAGACTTTTGTGTCAAGAGCGTTATGAATCCACCGATGTTCACCAAACCCTTGGGTCTTCTGATAATGTGACTTCTCAGTCGATTCCAAACTTTCCCCAGTGGAGTGAGAACAACTTGTTTCTGTTTTCCCCACAGTACTACACAGGATGACAGTTGTGACTTGAACGATGATGACAAACTAGAACCATTCTGCACCGATCTCTTGCAAACGGAATTCCTGGGCACACACCATTGGCTTTCACAGCAGCTTACTTTGAAGGAGCAGGTATGTCCTTCTAAGGTCAAGATGTATTTTAGTTTCATCAAACCAGTTTTATCGTTTTTGCAACGGCATTTGGACTTTCGATTTCAGTCTTCCATGAAGTGCTGCAAACATATTCGATTATTTAAAAGTGGCTATTTTCGTCCTGCATGTTACTTCGACCGGGAAGCTTTTACGACTAACATGCTTCTTCAGGTTTAGGTGGTGGCTCCTGATGGATGCGATAGAACCATCTGACTTCCTTAACATTATGGCTAATAAAAGCACGAGGAACTGTTTGAACTAATTCGGTTAATGTGTTGGCTACTACATACGGCATTTGTGTTCTAAAGTTGTCCCCTATCAAAGGGACCAACCGAAAGAGGCTTCTGTAGGCCGATCTATTCTTGAATCACTTTCATCGAAGTACGCCTCAAGACATCAACGAAAGTTATCTTTGCAGAGGAGCGAGTGTATTGCCTCGCCTCGGAGAGGACACCGAAAATTTTTGGATTGTCTCATTTCTCGAGGTATGGCTTCGCTGCCGTACAACCACGATATATTTGAAAGTCGTATTGTGAAGAAATGAATGAAAGTGGATGGGGAGAGGATTTAGTGCTGGCGTACTACAATTATTCCGAGGCGCCTTCATCCTCTGACACTTATTCAGACAACCTGGATAGAAACTGACAACAGAACGCCACTGACATCGGTTAGTAGCCATATCTTGCAGCGTCTCCAACCAGGTGCAATGGGGATCACGCAGTTCCCATCCTGGAAGGCGAGTAGCACTGACTGCACCCCAACGTTTCGTGATCTCCTCCATATCCCTCTGCCAGGTTATGGAATGGCCACCCCTCTGTCTCTGCCACTCCTCGCATTGTAGCCTGATACACATATCCCTTGAGATTCAGGGATAAACCACTCTGACGCCATAGCGAACGCGACCCGAGCCTTTCAGATTCGTGCATTCACCTCATCTGTCACACTACAATCAGGACTACTACAACTTCCAAGATACGTAAGACGATCCACAACTTCTAGCACCTTTCCCTGGAGTGCAAGTGGCGTGTTCAGTGACTGCACGTCCACGAGCATGACCTTACACTTTGTTGGTGCAAAGTGCATACCAAAGGACGGGATTACTTTGGTCAGTTCATCCAAAAACATTTGCGCCTTCTTCCCTTCTTCGAAGATAACTATGATGTCGCTTGAGTATTCCAGATCGAAAAGCTTTTCGTCACAAGCTATCTGAACACCATGGTTTTGGAGACCTTCCAGCGTTTGTCTCATTATTTCATGGATCACGAAGTTAAAAAGGAATGGAGAGAGTGGGCATCCCTGACGGACACCGCCTTGTGTACGGGAGCTTTTGGAGACGTCGCCGTATACTTTCACATGTCCGGAAGTCCGAGATCATGAAGGGATTATTATGTTCAGAAAAATCCGGGGCATTCCTTGGTGGGCGAGCGTGTCAAGAAGAACAGACCGATTAACCGAGTTAAATGTGCCTCGGAAATCCAGGAATATTAGAATTGTGGGTCGCTTATACGTATGGCGTTGTTGTAGTACCTGACGGAGTGTGAAGATTTGATCAACTCAACCCCTACCAGGCCGGAATCCCGCTTGCTGTTCTCGAGTCAGTATCTCACGAGCCACTGTAATGCGACGAATCACATAGACGCCAGCAGTCTCGTTACGACCGGGGTCAAGGTGATCTCCTGTGGTTACCACACTCAATACGCTCCTCTTTTTTTTGAAAATGTACACTATAACTGACTCTCAGTTGTCTGGGACAGACACCTTTTCTAAAATGCAAGCAAACAGACCAGACAAGTGCTGACAAAGGACCTCAACCCATCTTTGAACAATGCGGGTGGGTGGTCATCCGGGCCAGAAGCTCGGTTGCGCTTGAGAGAACATATGCAGTCATAAGCCTCCGAGGCCGTAGAGGGTTCCACGTTCACCGTCCAGGGTTGTACCTCAACTGTGGGCTCTAGATGAGTCGCATCAGACGGACACGATAACTGTTGTTCGAAGTATCTGGTTCACTGACCGAGGCGTTTTTCTTTATCAAAGATGGCCGCTCCATCCTGATCCTTGATGTTTTCGCCTACAGGTGACTTCCGTTGGCCGGTCGCCAGGATCGACTGAAGCAATCTTGGGGCATTACCAGCTTTCTGGACCTTATCCATTTCTTTAGCCTTCCGGGTCCAGCAGACTTTACGGTTGGCCCGTACGCTCATTTTCACTTGACGTCTTATAAATCGTCGGCTCAAGTTATGTCCGGGACCAACTGGGATATTTCTTCGAGGTTTTAGCAGTGCCACTGTTCGGTCTGATATCCATTGCTTGAGTGTGCCTGGTAGCACCGTACCACAGGCAAAGCTCAGAATGAATTCACATCTGATGGTAGAGCATTTGGAAGATACTCTTGAGGATGATTCTGGTAAGTTCGTCTAACATCCGGATTTGTCAGTCTCAGTTGCCAGGCGATTTACCCGCACCTTACGCGGGCCTGGAAAACGAAGGGAGAAGCGTCTCCTGACGAGTGTGTGACCGGAATCCACAAATGTGTTCAAAAACGACCGGCAATCAACTATTGATCCGTGCCATCCGTAACTGATGGCAATGTGGTCTATCTGAGTTTGTGGCCGGACGACTTCGACTATTTTGGAGATTTGTAGTGTACAAAAACAGTCTTCCGTAAGCACATAGCTAAAACAATCGATCGCCGCTCTCCGTACGTACCGAATCCAATTCATGTCGACCTTCTAATTGAGTCTCAAATGTGTCAAGCCTTCCCACTCGGTAACAACCACTATATCTGAGCTCTTAGCTCGCCGCAGCAGGCATTCTGCGTCGTAAAACTTGCCCTGGATGGTATCTGAGCTACAGTCAGTTGGGGCGTAAGCGGACACGAAAAACAGACAGCGATCAGTTTCCCCCTTGTGAGACTCCTTCACAGACTTTGCCAGACGAACCGCACAGAGGCGACTATCAGCGGGTATCCAGTCAAGAGAAGATCCTTCTGCCCGGATGATACTAACCCCTGTAGATCATGCTGCAGTAGCCTCTGGATTGCCACATGTGCGCAGCGGGAAGCGAGTGGAGAGTGATGGGACGTTTAGTTCAACCGCTGTGCTTGCATCTTGAGTTCTTGTTTCTGATACACAGCACATATCAATGCCAAGCGAGTCCAATGTGAGAGCAAGACCAGCTTATTGTCCTGCCTGCTCCAGAGTGCGTACATTAATTCAATGCCAACGAGTCCAATGTGAGAGGAAGACCAGCTTATTGTCCTGCCTGCTCCAGAGTGCGTACATTAATTCAGCCGGATAGACTGGGCGTCGAGGCTTGAAGATTGGTTTCGAGATGCCTGAGGGTGTCGGTGCAGGATGACTGGCAGATGTTGTTCGGAAAACCTATGCAGGACGGACGCATTCATCAGTCCTAAGTTAGAGTTTTTAATGGGATTGGGCGAGGGGGAAGAAAAAGTATGTGAAAGAGAAGGAAGGGAGGCGTCAGCAGTAGCCTGTATTCGCTTACCCGCCCTGTTGTATGCAGCGAAAAGACGACCCAGCTGATGGCACCACGTGACGGTCGATTTAGCATTGGTTTGTTTGTATATGGGCAAGATGGCTCAAGTGGTTAGAGCGCGCGTCTGCTGACCGGTAGGTCCGAGGTTCGAACCCTATATCTGCCTCTCGATCTCCCCTGTCTAGGCTTGGGCAACCTGACAGTATCGCAGCCCTCGTGCTTCCTTCTGGTGGTATGGCAGACAGGCACCGAAAGGGGTTTACAGCTGAACGGTTTTATGTGCAGTTCATGGTTGCACGTGGTCTGGGATATTGCCAGGACGCCTGCGCCTGGACAGGAGGACGATTAGGATCCTCAACTAAAGCCTTTAGCTCAAAAGCTTGACCGCAAGATAGCGGTGTTTGGCTGGAAATGCAAGTACTTCACCATTTCTACGGAACACGTCCGCACACATTTTCCAACCGCCAACCTGGAGTACCAGAACACTGAGTTGATCAGACCTCCGCGAGTGTCGCTCGGACATCCTGTATTGTAGCTCGTCGCCGAGGACACAAACCATCACACCACTGCAAGGTCCACCATCAAAAGGGGAGTGCATATACGGTGACTAAAACCAGGGGTTTTGTTCGCAGCACTTGAGGTGTCATTTTTTATTTTCGTTTCCAGTGCCCATAGCGTTTCTCCGTCTTGTGGCGGCAGGTGTTGAACAGTAGCTGGCCACAAATGTAACTTTACTCGTTATTTATGGATTGACTATCACCTATCTCAGAAAGTTGTGGATCAAAGGAACTATTAACCTAACCGGTCCGATAGGTTTAGCAGCCACATTTTACCTACCCGCAAATCGGACAGTTTCATACACTTATTAGCTTTGCTCGGTACTATCCGAGGCTTTTCTAAATCAGCGGTAAATGTGAGGATATGTAGCTATTCTGCATAGGAAAGTTAATTGGTTAGGTCCTCCGGGAAGGTAGGTTACACGCTTTTCTCTATACTGTTCACTAACGTTCTTGCCACCTACTCTGTAGGATGCAATGAAGGCCCTACACAACACTCTCATGGACATAGCGGAACGAGTGCATCACGATTTACCAGAGTTCTCGAAAGCTCCGCAAACTAGAGCGCAGTGGGCCACACTGTTCCATCAACATGTCAAGGACCTAATTGGGTAGGTTTATGCGGACCATAGATTTTATGGTGTGTCCCTTTTATTTCACATTGCATCGCATGAGGTTTCTATAAAGCTTTGTCTTTTTTCGTGTATGCATCAGTACTCAATTCGGACCTCGCCTTAGTTGGAATTTTTTTGCCATTCTTCAGAAATTCATATCAGGTTGCACGTTACTGCTCTCTGATATTATGGTAGATAGGCGTTTGCGTTTAACTGTATGACAGCCTTTGGGGACAGTGATGGTCGTAAATATATAAGACAGATGGCAGTTCCGTTGCTGTTTTTTTGTTCTGTACGGCTAAGTCAACGTATTCTAAAAAACTGAGAAGCACCGTATGGATGCCTCATCCGTACTGAGAAACGTTAACAGAGTGTATCTCACAAACGCCAAGGAGGATAGACATCGAAAAGTCTACCTCCGTGCTATGTATGACGGATCATATTACGGTTGATCAAGTGGTGACGCGCATCCCGACTGGTGGAACCACGTGACTCACACTGCTGTCAACTGATTCATCAAGCAGGTTCTGCTAGATTTACCTTGCTAGGATTATGAAGTAACGGTGCGAGATGATGTGAGATTTCGTCCTTGGTGATCCGTATTAAGCATGACAGTTACACGGTACTGTCGAACGCTTCAGCATGACTTAACCTAGCTTTGCACGACGAATCTCCTTACTCCTCACTGAAGATGCGGCTCATAGACCTACACTCTATCAACCCCAATCACAACCATCAAGTGAGTCCACCGTGCGCTTTCAACTACTACCAATATGTATTAATGTCCAGTTAGTGCATCAGGCAGATCTAAGCCAATAGTAAGACTTCAGCACTTCTCCAGCATCATGATGTACCGATTCTCGATAACGCCTGGCGTTGAATGTGCTCAGAGAGAACAATCTAACTGATTGTAATGGAGCAGGAGTCTACTGAAGGCTTCCCAAAAATGAGACGGACATAGCTTGCGTGTCCAGGGTTATAAGATTAGCGTTGTAATCGCGCTTAGATTTGTCTTCCTATGCACATGCAGCCTGTTTTCCGTGATGATTTAATCAATAACGTAGAGCGCATGTTTGCTCTACGGGTGAGACTATACTGCTCATTCGTGGAATATGGTTGGTTACGCAAATTGTTGACCAAAAATACACTTAGGCCCTTCACGATTGGTATATACACGAATTGCATCACGCCGCCAGAAGGACAGGATAGGTGAATTGGCTTCTGATCAGGTGGCAGTTGGCCTGTTCACTGAGCTTGGCAATTGGCTTGCAAGTGTTTCGTCTCCATGCTAGGAGATTTCAATGCGTGCACTGACGATGCCCCGAGTTTTCTAGTCTGTCATCCGAAGTATTCTACGCTGTGGTTGCGAAAACTTGTCGATGCGTGTGAAACATTCGTAGAATGGTGTTCGAGTAACATTCTCAGATTACATCTTCAAGACCGTGTGCCGAATGAAGCGGTTCAATTTTGTGACATCCCTTGAATTTCGCAACTACTCCAACAAGATTGGATCCGGTGGTTCGGATGCGTTCTCCATCGTTTACATTTAGACGTAACCAGGACCGGTTTGACTCCAAAACCGCACCTCTCCTATGGATGTGAGCTGTCTCTCTGAGAAATTACTTAGCAAGGTAAAAGTGCAAGAGCGAATTGAGGTATCGTGTTCATTATATTCTTTGATCTATATTTATCTGTATGTAGACTTGTTTTTATGGCCGACTGATGTAAACCATCTTGGACAGCTGGGATTGACAAATGATAGATGAACTGATCACACTGCACAGGTTGCGTTGGCTTGGCCACGTGCTGCGTATGCCAGTCGACCGACTTCCTCGAAGGGCTCTTTTCGCCCAACCATGTGAAGGGTGGAAGAGAGCCAGAGGCGGTCAAACAATGACTTGGCAGCGAAGTATGAAGGCCATTACCAGCAAACTCAGCTGCGCTGGTCACTGCCGTCTTCCTGGATGGGGACCCCGAGACGGGCCACATCAATGGCTAGAGACATTATCAGACATGGCCCAGTCGCGCCCTCAGTGGCGCTCGTGCATCCAAGCTATTGCCTTCAATGCATAGCTTCTTTTCCCCCCCCCCCCGCTTGACAACTCACTGACAGTGCTGGATTTATGCACCAATTTACCAGCTCGCGCGTGCAATGCGCAGCTACTTACCCCCCAATCATCGGTGAACGAAACTGTGGCAGCTACAACCAGTGTACGACCAGTACGCGGTTCTTACAGCTGACAATGATGATGATGATGATGATGATGATGATGATGATGATGATGATGATGATGATGATGATGGTGACAAATGAAGTGAATTTATGGGATGTCGTGGTCTTCACTGTTTCTCATCTAGAAAGTGGTCTATGGAAAACTATTTCGGCGATGATTTCTCAAAGGCCAGTTACTTATGGGATATTCAATAAAGCCCCGAAGTACTTCCTCAAGGATCGTCTTCTCTGTAGCGTTAGCTTAGCTTTCTACATTCGGCTTTGTTCGTTATACTTTCAAGTGCACTTCAACAGTAATCACTCTCTTTCCTCTCCCTCCTTAGCCCAGTTTGTCAATCAGACCATTTGAATATGCTTGATGCTCTCCAACTGGTCATGGCCAGCAGCACTGCCTTATCTGCATTTTCCAAGCGTGTTCATTGTGAACCGGATTCCGATAAGGATGAGGCTCCACTGTCAAACGTAAATTTAGAGAAGCTACTGTCCCGTTTCGAACGTTCTCTCTTGGTGGCTAGTCAGCTAGATGCCAAAGCGATTGCCCAGCTGAGTGAACCGGACAAATGCGAGCCGGTTCTTTTGAACGCCTTGCGTGAAGCAAAGTGAGTTATATTTTGACCAAGTGTGAAACCTCAGAATTTGTTCGGGTGTTTTGAGGAGTTTGCACTTTTATCCGGTTCTGATAACCTATGTTCACTCCTTTACTGATCGATGCTGTTTTCACTGTTGTGCCCATGCTTTTTTCGTGAAAAAATGTTATCTTTTTGACGTTCTTTTATTCAGGATACTGACGTACCTTGATGACAGGTTCCTCTTCGTCGTGTACCTGATGAGCCTTATGCCTGTTCAAGTTCGGGTGTCTCCAGTCGTCTGGGAACTTGTTGAGGTAAGTTGTAGTCCAGGTACGATGGATTTTCTCTCCTCAATTCAGCGGTTGCTTTCCACGTTGGAAGAACTTGATGCATGGATTGACTTGCTTCCAGAAGTCACCATAAACTGTTAACGGAAGCTTTGAGTGTCCTCATTTGTTCAAGGTGATGGTATCTTTAATCAGATTATTTTTCGCATCATTGTGTAATCCGGCCTTGAAAGGAACAAAGCTATGAAATGGCGTGTACTGACCTGTACGCGTTACTCTGCGCTACACACGGTGTTCTATCCACCCGTTCTGTGCTTTCTTTAGTAGTACGTCGACATCTAGCTGGACAAACGCCATTAAAAGCATCCAGAATAAAGGGTCAGTAGAAGAGTCACATGCTATGGAAATATCATTGCCACATGGGGCTCAACCTATGCGCCATAGTAGTCGAGAGGTTTTATGCCATTTGCCGGTATTAAATTTTTGCATACTGGGCTAGGTAGAGAGCCTATGGCTACTCCACTCATTTGTCTTTAAACGAACGAAAGCAGGACGTCTAGTGTAAACTTTGTCTCCAGACTTTTACCCCGTGGACACATTTATAATTTAACCTCCGATAAAACTGAGGGGCCCTCCTGGCAACCTCGCAGTATCCCAGCCCTCGTGCTTCCTTCGTGTGGCATGGCAGCTAGGCACCGAAAGGCTGCTACAGCTGAACGATTTTTTAACCCCCGTATATTTGTGCAGTGTGTGAAGACGACATCCGTGTGTTCGTCATGCGCTATCAATAAAACGAATTGTACCGTGTATGTTGTGTTGAACTACGGTTCAAAAGAGTAAGTATTTGTGTCCCGCTTTGACTAGACTGTTTATACTTATTTTGGAGCAATAACGTGTTCTAGGGAACTGGGGTCGTTGGTTGGTCGTAAACGCGGTCGAAAAATGTACCGGCTGTTTCAACAATAGAGGCATAAATTTCAACTCCTATCGTAACACGGCTGCTGGTGTCTCTTATATTGCGATGCCTTTCTTCGGCATCAGTGAGGTGTAACGGTGGTACTACTGATGGGGGGCATGTGAGTAGTATGTTTTCTCGTAAATCCGCCCTGCGTCTCTTGAAAAGTGAGATCTATTACGGAACTTGTGGAGTCGCATTTGCTTGGATTTGAGCAACAGTCCATGAATATCCAGGAAAGTTCAGGAAGACGCGTTCAAGGAGAAGATGGATATTCAGTTTTGCAAACAAGATGCCTATGAGAGTTTTGCTTCCCTGTCCAGTAGTCTGTAACTGTTCAGTTGGTATTTTCTAATGGAAAACTCCGCAGCGAAGGCCTTCTGCCTTCCACTGGTATGCACTGATCATATTTTTTTACATTGTCTCACGTGCTTGAGAAGCACCATAGCCACCGATCAACAATCGACTTTGGAGGAACCTTGCATTCCACCAAACTTGATCATCGGTGTCTCTGTAGCATAGCAAGAGTCAGCCAGCTGCAGGGAGTATGCAACGAACCGCTGCGTAAGCACGTTGATGGTAGCAAATCTGCACGGTTAGTGCAGCAGGTTAAGCTGGTTGAGGCATGTATTACGTATGTCCAACCACCGTCTACTCAAGAAAGCGTTAGTTTTCGTCCCAAACCATTGCTGGCAAAGGGTCCGCGGAGGAAATGACACGTAAAATTGAAGCGGCTACAGTCATTTTGAGTGTTCTGCGATTTTAGCAATTCCCAGGCTGAAGCCCACATTTTCGTGCTTGCATGTGCGTGGAAACCCTGCAGGAAATCTCACGGTGTTGTCATTTCCTAGCTGATCTGTCCAGTGAAGGCTTCGCCTGTCGTACCCCGGCAAATGTCCTAGAAGAATCTGAGTTGGTTACTCTGATGATGCCTTCATTCGGCATGTCCGCAACTGTGTTCCATATAGCTATGATATTCCTGTGGCAAGTGATGCCTCCGTTGACTATGTCTGTTCTATATAGCCGCTTCCCCTAGGCGTTGTTGTACTAGAGCTGAATTCGGCGGAACGGCCTTGTCAAAAATCTCTTCAGGTAAAGTACTGGTGTAGTCATGAGGAATTTCATCGTACCGTGGTCCATGAACTTTTTGTTCGTAATAAAGAGAGTGACATATCGCGTCATTTCGCTCCATAGAGGATTCTAAACTCGTTGGTTGACAACTGTTCAAGTAGCCATTCGGGACCTTGCAGATTTCCGTCAGTGTAGTCTGAAGTTCCTCATGGAGCGACCACCTTAAGCGACTAACCAAAATTGGTCGTTGGCGCGATGGAGGACGACCAACTCAAGGCGGTCTCCTCAAAAGGTAACAACTCTAATTATCGTTCCAACATAGTTGGATGAGTCCAGTTTACCAGGATAAATCATAATCTGCGTATACTGACCTCATGTCATCAGCTGACTTAGGAGTAATAAGTTACCCATAGCGGCCGGAGTCGAGAAGCCTTTGTGTATATCATGTGTGTATTTTTACTCTCCTGTCTCTAGTGTTTCACTTCAAAACTGAACTGTGACAAGCGTGTGACAACAACAAGATCCGTCGAAACAGGATACAACGAATACGCATATTTTCTAGTTCATTCTGTTATTCCGGTAACTACTTATTGTCTTCGCTTCCGTTTAAACAGCGCGTGTTTCTTATTCAAGCGATCTAGAAACATCGATATTCCCTCTACTTGAGCAGCTACTGTGTGGTTGTACAGTCGAAGCTTCTCTTTCCGTTTCATGTACTTATAAAATACCGACATATCCAGCGAGTACTCCACGTGTGCTCTTGTTTAGTTTTGGGCAACCTGATAGTATCTCAGCCTCTGTGAATGCCTCGAGTTGCGTCACAGCTATGCATCGCAAGCGTTCCAAAATTGAACAGCTGTTTATTGTTAATTCCACGTTTGGTCTCTATCTACAGGACCTTTTCAACACAGGGCAGCGTATTCGGAAGATTAGTCCGGGTGTTAGAGGTGAGTATGGAATATTCTAAATAGTGCAGTATGCAGTACTCCCACCACTTAAAAAAGACTATTTCAGTAACACTAAAGTTTTGTCATTGCATTCCCTCTCCGAAAAAACATCCCTGTAGAAATGGTGGGCAGTCACTTTAGCTTGCTGATTTACACTGCAAGAGGAGTCTGCAACAGACAATTACATAATTGATTCTAATTTACAGGGCTAACTCAAACATTCGCTTTCCTCAGTTCTTCTGGTATGCCATACCACCGCACCGGCCGACGCTTTCCGATCGGACGTGACTTGGTTTTTAATCCGCTTAGCTTAGAATACGGAAACTTCACCGTTTGCCGGAACATCCCACGTATGTAGTTGGGGTTGTCGGCAATGCAACAGGTGCTTGGGATGGAATAACGCATCGTAACCCTATTTTCTAGATTCTCTATCATTGGTTCCCAACAGTTTTTTTCTAGAAGTCGCAATTTTACTGTGCAAGTGAATCGAATCTGCACCGAAAAGCCTAGAAATGCTGTACAGCTGTTTCATCCTTATTAAGAATAATCGGTAGTGTGTGTCTCACTGAACCCCATCATCATCAGCTGTAAAAGCCACGCACTTGCCCTACAGTGGTTAGGGCTGTCACAGTTTCGTTCGCCGATGGTTTGAGTTGGGTAGCTACGAATCTCCTCCCTTGTAGTAGTTAAAGACTAAAACATGCAGCCACGAGCGTCTGATCAGCTTTGTGAGTAACTGACAACGGTCCAGAATATAGCGTCACTCATACTTCGGTAACAGAATCTCCATCACGTGTTGATTGGCTTCGATTGGTGACTTCTCACATTGAAGATTCATTTATCGTTTGGATTATTCCTCCTCTCAGCTACCTATTGTTTGTTGGTAGTACTTATATGAATACTGTTTTTTATGTTGATATTAGAATACATCTTTTTGTGATAATCACTAGCCGTAAAATGTGTCCACTCCAGGCTAATGAACCAAGTTATTACACAAATCCTGAAACCTCGAAAGGTGTGCGCATCTGTGTGAGACGATAGCACCTAATTAATAGGGTTCTCCGCATACGAACACGCACACAGACGTGTGCAAGCTTCGAGACTGTCAATGGTATCGATTATAGGGTTGGAAACCCATGTTCACCATGTACCCTTGCTTCCGAATGGAAAAGGAAATAAATACTCAGGACCACAGGCACATGAAAGTAATGGCATTCTGTCGAAAAAGTTGGCGGTTAGATTTAAGTCGGTCATCTGTAAGAACCACCGTGTGCAGAATTCATACTGAGTGTACACTATGTCTGTCTGGGTTGTGATTTTCGCTATAAGTTCTGGTTGAAGCGGCTGATGGACCATAAGACTTAATAGGTGTGAAGGTAGAATTTCCCGGTAACATGGTATTGGAATTTCGATGTATTTTGGTACAATCTTGGTCGTACCGCGTATGCGAACGCGAAACACTTGCGGAAAGGAAGCTGACAGCGCGGGGTGGTGAAATGTCTTCAGGCAATTTTTACCAATTAACAGTCTTAGCAGATTCAAGAAGCTATATATCCTGCGGCGCTTCAGTCTTCGACCCCATGACGCTGCTTATGGCGGGCTTAAAATAACTATATTTGTGAGCAGGGTATCCAAGTATTCGATTTTTCACTACATTTTTCAGTAAAATTTATTGGCATTTTTGAGGATACGCACAATTGCATTTCAAACTGAGTGGAGGCAGCTTTTCGTAACGTGCAAATCGTTTTGTGTCTAGGTCCCGCTAGGAGACCCAGGTACAAGTACAAAGTAGTGGTTGATGTTCATTGGCAGTGCATGGTTACTTGTCATTGTTCCGTACGTAATTGAGCGGATTGCTGAATATCTAGACCAGGAGGTTTTGTATTCAACGGCTAATGCCCCCTCCTTCGGATGGTGGCGTGAAATCCCAGCCACTACTTGCTATCTATACTGTTGCTTCTCCAGTCCCTCCTCTTCATATCTGATTTCACTACGCCTCATCTACTTTCGGTTCTAGGTAACCTCATCCCCACTTTTATGACCACCAGAAGGCTGATATCAAATTTAATCAACTTGTGGGAACAACGTCGTTCACTGCCGAGCTATAAGTGAGTGATTCGGGTATTCGATGGTATTGTGCTCTCAATCCGGTTATCGATTTCTGCCCTTTTGTTTGCGTACTTAAATTCTCACAGTAGCTTAGCTGTTTGACCAGTTCATTTCTACAGGCCGCGCTCACCGATGAAAGCCATAACAACCATTAGAAGAATAAATGGACTTGCCGTCAGTTGGCTTTACAGCATGAACACAGCTATCATGAAACTTATTTACCTAATCGATAAAAGACAAAATGGAGGGGTGAAGAATTTTTGAGGAACAACACGACGTCTTCATGAGGAATTGGGGTGATAACCTCTATTCCGATTACAAATGTCCTTCTAGATAAAATGAAGTGTGTGCTACCCTATCCAGACCAAAACGTATTTCCTCGGTTAAGGGAGTTTTATGATTTGGGCTAAGTAGACAGTTTCTCGAAGCCAGTTTTTGCGACGCAACTCAACTGCACTTCATGCACTTAATTTGTGCACTCTGTCCATAGTGTTCGGTTTGAATTGTTGGAGATTTAGTGGTTCTCAATAAGATGGTGTTTACCCCATTGCTTACTATCTCAAGTAGCCCCGTGCGTTGTGATGCTCTCAACAGCTAACCTATATTCGGTTTTCGTAATAGGACTAGCTGCATAGTAGATACCGAAATTCATATGTTGACAGAATTACAAGTGGCTTTAGTCACTATGTTTGCTCATTTGTGGTCAATGGGACAACACCGCACGTCAGTTCGCAACTCGTTTGGCTGTATCAGGGGATGAGAGGTTTGTTTACTAAAAACATCTTTTAGGTGGACGGACATCTGCATTTTCTTTCGCTCATGTGAACCTGACTTTTGATGTTCTCATCCATAAGAGTGTTCGGTTATCGAAAGGCGCTTAAAGCTTTGTCAGCTGCTCATTGCACGTCGATCTGCACAGCCCATTGCACAGATACAGGTACTAGGTTATGCACATAGATGTAGGTATATACCTGAATATCTATGGCAAATTCAGCCAGTCTAGTTGTTGACATGCATTTCCGAACTAAAATACCATGCGTGGCGTAGATATTTAAAGAACCATGGAAGGATCAATCGGAATAGATGTTTTGTTTGCCAGAGTCGTTCCTAACTGCCCACATTCAGGTCAGAAGGTGGAGCAAATTCGCACACTTGGTTTTATCGACTTTCGTGCTAACTTTCGCCTTCGATCCGATCTTACACCGAAAGACACTTTTGCACTAGTGGAAGCGCTTCATATAAAGCATATCTATCTGGATTGGTCGGAGTTCTTGCATATGATGTCATCTGTTTGAACCGATCCCCTCTACCATTTTATTTGCACTAATTAGTGAATTTAGGGTTAAAAACTGATACGCTGTATATTAGATAGTTTGTCCAAATTTCAGGCAATATATATACTCACTAGTTAGCTTCCGCTATCGTCCATTGTTTCCCTTTGTTTCATCGCGTGCCGCTGAATGAGATTGTGCATTAAACTTTGTATGCATCAGCACCGAATTTACAGCCATTTTTGTATGGATAGCGCATCCCATTGAGCCCATATAGCCTGCAGCATTCATCATACAGATGATTTCGCCTACGGTCATACTGAAGTTTACTAGCCATAAGTTGTATAGTCTCCAGCATTTCCATAAAAATAATTGGTACCTCTTTGACTCACGTTGTTCCAAGCTCCCGTTCGTTTTTCAGGCATGGTCGCAAGTTGTCAGTTCTAGCTCGTGAAACAGATACCGGAGAATTCAGGCACTTTGTGTCTCCACAAATCTTTTGGGGAGACCAAAGCCAACCTGCGCTGAAAAAAATTGTGTAACTGTTTGGTTCATACCTTAAGATGAATTAAGCCCGCAACCTTGAACACTGCATCTGACCACTGGGTTACTGAGGACGACGATAGTTAAGTTGTTGTTCCTCTAGTGATTGTTTTACGGAATTCGTGTAGAACAGCCACTTTTCCTCAGCAAACTTCATCGAACCTTTGCTCCAACAAATCTCTAATACAGTATGTGACAGAAGAAGGAAGAAATTGATTTTGTCCAATGTATAGAGAGGAAGCAAAATAAGATGAATTGATTGTATTATATTGGATGACACTTGGAATGCATCGGTGGTTTGGCGTTTTCATGTGAGAGTGAGACCCTTCAAGGCAGCAATGAGAAACAATGCTACCCACGGCTGCCTATAACGATCTAAATCATCATAACCTTGCCTGACGTTTCTGCCGTACTTCCGCATCCTGTCGAGCCAACACTCATCACCGACTCCAATGGCGTTCGATTTTGGAGAGTAGGAACGGAAAGTTGGTACCATGTAGAACTTCAACAAAAGTGAAATACGCCCTAGCATGCACTCGTACACAGAGCTACGGAAATCTCACTCCTCATATGTACCCATAATACTACTCATAAATCGCTCGTAATATTAGTATCCAAACATCCATCTTCCGTACCCGAATCCTTTCAATGACATCTTCATGGAAGTCACGCAAAAGGCTCACAAATGGAGTTGTTGGACATCAGTTGGGAAATGTGTGCGAATTTGTGTAAAGTTTCAGTGCACTTGTGACTTGGATCAGCCTCTGTTACGGTTCTGTCACGCAGCGAGCAAACAATATGATAATGCGGATTGTGGCAATACTCTATCCCCAGCTATGTTGCTTGATACAGACTCCTAGCACGGCGAATAGTAAGAAGACGAAAACCTCGGACACAAACTTTAATAATCCAACAACACACGATCAACAGGCGATGCCCGGAGCTTCCGAACCCAAGTCAGTGGAAAGAAATGGTATCCTGTACGTGGTCGGATTTAAATTTTCTTGGAGTATCAATAGGCCATTGATTTTTCATAGTTTGACCTTGAAGATGCCAGGAGTTCGCTAGCACACATAAAAACACAGCGTTTTCTGGGGGATATTGATATCCCCAACAGCCTCCACTGGTAAGACACCTGTGCGGTAGGCGGAAGGTCGAGAATTCGAGAATACCAAGCCTATCCACTTATACTGCTTAAATTATACTTCAAGATCAAACTAGTTCGTTTTTGCAGCAGCTTTGTCCGGAACAATGTCACCGACACGTTTCTTTCTTTGTCGGGGCTCAGCGGATTCGCCACACTCGAGTGTGGGAAACTTGACCTGTAAGCATGAACTGCCATACCTGAATTATGGATTTTTATATAGACACACTTGTTCATGAGTACCGTTTCACAACTTGTCTTAAAAGATTTAACTACAACCATACGATTTCTATACCTTGTCATTCGAAAACTCAACTAGTTGCCAATCGATGATTTCGGTGAAAGGAATTTTGAGTAATCAAATTCCCAGTGTTTTTGAGTGGACTCGTAATACTTCTCGCTTTGCTTCCATCGTTTGTTATCAAGGTCTTATTTTTATACTTTTGCACAGTAACGTGTGGACAAATCAACCGCGATATCGCTCCCCACTGGCCCAACTTATGAAAGACTTGTTGGGAGCTCGAACAAACCCAAACGAGCCGAGCCCAGCGCTCAAAGGCCTCAAGCATCACACAGCCGCCTCAGGTTCAGCCAAGTGGCTCACCGGCCTTAGGTATGACTAGTTTACCGATACAATTTCGTTCCAGTACCGCCCTTTCTCACACGCTTGCGGTCTAGTGTACTCGTCGTATCCGGAAGTTTGCTAAGAAAGTGCCCTATTCAATTCGCGTTTTTGAATGAGTACACTTTTCCGGGTCACAATGCGACCTTATCGGTCGACTTCCAAGACCAGTTCGGGGATTCTCGTTCACCCAAATGGTAACAAATGTCCTTACCTCATCAATCGACCCCCTGCCAGAGTTCCTAGAGTCTGAACAACGAATCTTGACACGGCATATGCAAGTTATATTGACTGAGAATCTTCTGTCCGTCTGGATGGCAAAGTAGTTTATTGTTGTTTCCTTCGCTGTGTAGTCCTCCGAGACCTTGTTCACGATCTGCGCGAAGTTGCATCCTTCACATATGAGCTGTGCGAACCAACTCAAGAATGGCACGTGGATCATCATTTTCAAATGCGAGAAATAAGAAGGCGTTCCATACGAGGATTGTGGCAGTGTTGTGGAGCCAAATAGAATCGATTATACTGACTCATTTGACGTTTTTCGGTAGCAACGAGTTTCGCATGCAAATAATTTCCTACAACCCGAACATATGGCCAAAAGCTGTCTCAAATCTCATCTGGGCTTATAGTCAAGATATCAGAGTGTTGTTCTTCAATCCACCGGGTAGACGCGTCCTCAAATTTCTTTCAATTTTCTCTATTTACACCAAGTTTCACACATGCAAAATAATACTTTTCTCGCCTTTACGCCTTACACACATGTATCGTGTATCGGTACTATAATGCGGAATATATGTACCTCTGATGGGTTGCCTAGTTGTTGGCTTGTTAATTTAGCTTGGTAGTCGGTCTTCGTACATTTCATCACCATTCACCGAGAGCTCGGGACACTTACTATCTCACTGACGATATTTCTCTGGGTGGTAACACGACGTTTGCAAATCACTTCCGAAGCTCAGGGAACATGTAAACGTCAATGGGCATGATGCTACTTTTGTGTTACATTTCTGTTGCTTGTTACGGACAAGTAGGTCCCTTTCAAGACTCGGAGCTTGTCACAACTTGGTGTATGCTGCCTCATGGAGAAACTTGGACATACAGATGTTGTTGTTTGGGATGAGGTCGTATTTTCTCGCTTACTTCCGTGTGCAAGCACATTTTAGTACAAGTAACCTTTTTTCCAATTTTCCTCAGTCGATATATCCGGATCGCCGGTTCGACTGCACAAGAATCCTTACCGTACACGACTGACTATGTCATTTTGGTAATGTTGGGAAGCGTTCCGTTTGCTCTGATCCGTGATCTTATGGAAGTTGTGAAGTCACAAAATTCTGGTTCACCCCTCAAGGTTAGTCTGTGCTCTTCGATGCTCTACACACCAAGTTTACATTAACGCCTACCTCAGCACTATATCCCAGTGGTCTTTCGCATTTCTGATTGCATGTTTTTCAACACTTGTAACTTAGAGAAGACGAGCCCTGTTCCTATTATTCGTCAAGAGTCTTTCATTACCGTCATCACTGACTGCAACTTGGGTTGTCTGAAGTGCGAAGATTTTTTGCGTCCCATGTTTCACTTTCGTAGTGCTTCCTTCCAATGTATTCTCACTTGTATTGTGGTTTGTTGCGCTGTTCTTTTCCTCAATGTGTTTTTTCACCAATTGGCTCCTGTCCTATCTGGAATTCATCGGTTGTTTGTAGTAAGCATTCGTTTGATTCATAAAGTTCCATTCGTACAATTTCAGCAAAGTAACTAGGATCGCTTAGAGAACAGTGCAAACCATGATCTATAAAAAACACTAATGAGTGTCGATCCTTCTGTCTACTGGGTGATTTCGCCAATCGACGGAGTCAACACTTGCCGACTGTCGAAGAATTCTTATCGTCAGTCATTTGAAAATGGTATCCTTTACTGCTGCTCAGTCTCAAACGATTTATTCTGAATGGGTTACCCAATCAACCCTTGCACTACATTCGATGTCGGATGGCAGTCTGTCGTTCGAAGGTTATTTGTCAATCCAGTCTGTATAGGACGGTAGCTGTTAGTCTGCGCACAAAATAGTGGACTATTCTAGTGGGTCTCCCCCAGCCCTGGATTGATCAGCAAGAAACGACAACCGCGTAACATTGGCATTCTGATGCGATATCATTCATTATGTATTACTTTATTGTCCTCGTCATCCCACTGCCTCAATGGGATGAATGGTTGTTGCTAATAGTTGATTGTCAAAATGAATGCTGTTGACTTCGTTTCTTAACCAGCCAGTCCTCTTCTAGAAGCCCATATATCCAACAGTCTGACACAACCAGGTTATGGGCAGCATTAAAGCCCGACAACAAGATGACCACCGAGGTTTCCATATTTGCAAGCCAGAACTAACCTGCGAGGCCTATCTCTGGAGTTTTTATTGAGCTCCCTGCTTGCTACGTGGAATCTAAAATTCAACCTATCACTTGCGTTTTGATGGATTTTTTTATTAGGATGTATTACAAACCTGGGGCGAGGTGGCTCTATGGCTACAACACGGAATTACTGACCGGAGGTCCGTGGTTCGAACCCGACCTCTGCCTCTCGATTTCCCCCGGCTAGGCATGGGCAGCCTGGTAGTATCCCAGCCCTTGTGCTTCCTTCGGGTTACATGGCAACTAGGCATCGAAAGGGTGTTACAGTTGGACGACTATCTTTATCTTCTAGTATGGTAAACCTAGTCGGTGTGCATTTATTATCACCTGCCCCGTTGACTAGAGCAATCACCGTTGCCCTCAACTTGGCCAGCCACCACATATTGTGTTGCGCGCAACGGACAGAGATCTGTCTCATTTTTAGATGTTCGTCCACTTAAGCTGTCACAAAACAACTGCAAACCACCAATTACTAGGGCTAAAGTCGTACATTTTTGAGAAGTTGGTTACACCACATGAGAGTACTGATGTCCACAAACCATTCTTCCATGCCGACTTCAGCAAAAAGCTACAATTTCTTACAAACTTCTGCAGGAGTTGGCGGATTTTGGAAGGAAAATGGGCGTCAACTCATTAGACTCAAATTATGTTGTTACAACTACGGGCAACTGTCGTGAGTTGGAGCAAGTGAGATATCTGCTGACATCAGCAGAAGGGACTTTTGCAATTCACTTTGCTCAGTCGCTTACTTGGTGACCAGCACACTGGGGCGACAAACAAACGACTTTAAGCCTCTGGCAAGAAACCTGGAAATGTTCGTACAGTTCTGCTCTTGATACATAATAAAGCTACCGAGCTTTCTGGCTGTGCAGCTGCATAATGTAGATGTACCACTGAGCATACTGCAACTATTACCGTCCAAAGTTCTTTGAAAGGCACACGTCTCAACAAGAGAGCTTGAGATGGACGCAGTGATTTCTATCTGATGATACAACAGATAGCTTGCGCTGTTTGTTATCGGGATATTTCGAGAAAACTCCCTGTACAGTTTCACCGTTTGCGCACTAACAACCTATGCCGTTCCTTGTTTCATTCACGTCCTAATTGTTGGTTTCTCTGTGCTTCTTTGTCCAGTTGAAAATAATGGCCAATCGATTCACCGGTGGCCTCGCAGGATTGTCGGGGTTTTTCTCAATTTGATTGCAGTGTCATTATTAATCGGACGTCTTTCATTCTTGCAAGATAAATATTACCGTGCGGATAAATTTATTGTGCGTACTTGACGTGATTTTTCTCTTGAATCAGTTGGTTTCCACTGTTTATACCGCCTGTAAATACAAAATTTGTTTCTTTTTCACATTCCTGATTTTGTACTGTCACCGAGTTCCACATTGGGTGTGATATTGCAACTTTGACCCACTACTAATAGTTTTACCGTAAGTCCTGTCTTCAAGCTGGTAGGCTGACTACACTCCTCTGAACATACCAGCTCTCCCAACAAGGAACATTTTGAACTTCACACCCCTATCACTCTCGTCTGAACATCCCTCCCCCTGTCCTGTTCACACCACAGACGGAAAGCACTGCAGTCGAGTTTCGCTGTTATTTGAGCAAAACCTAAGTGCCTACCCACGGTCGGATACCTTACATAAGAAGCGGGCGTTTTAACACTGCTCCACCAGCGCATTCTGAACTTATCTGAATTGCCTAGTCTGCTCAGGTGAACGTGTTTTCGCTTGGGTGATTTGACTGACACGGTCAAAGATATGCACCGCTGATGAGATCTAATAAGAGTGAAACTCAAGTCCAGTGCTCCCATCCTTTGGTGTGAACTCTCCTGCATAATTTTGCCAAGATAAGAGGAACGCTACTCAAACGACTATACGTGTAATTCTGAGTTCCACAAATCCCACGACCGCCAGCTAATTTCAATCAGCAGTTGTAGACTTTATCCTTTTTTCCTCCATGCGAATGTATTCAGTCGTCTTTGGAATCGTGATGCACTCGATCATTCAGTTCATCGAACCTATTGATGGGTGAGCCTAATTACACATAGATGCTCAGATATATAAAATCTTATATTCTTCTGCTAAACAACGAGCGTTCAGGTCAATAAGAGGGAGATCAGCAGCCAATTTCAAGGCGTTCCTGTGGTGACTGTTGTCCATTTGTGAATCTATAGTCTTATCCAATTGACCACTTGCGCAGTTCACAAGGTGGTTCATCACTCTATCACACTTTAGTTCTAACCCTCAAGATGAAAGGCGGACCATAGGGATTTGTTTGGTACAACTAATGTTCATGCCTCCTGGTGCTTGGGTGCGGGAATGATTTGTCTGAATGGTATTAATCTCGAGAATGATCTCAATAGTCTGGATTTTGGTAGGCCGGGTGCGGGTTATCCAGGAGGGTTGTCTATATTATGGTAACTGCTAATTTCGAGGGGTAATCTTGTGGTCGTTTATAGACCAATTCCGGTGCAATCCCATTGCGAGCCGCTGAAATCCTGTGGAGTGTTTATTTGGCTCCGAGTAACATTGACACTGCTTTTTCAATTTTGGGAAGCTTGTGGTTTGTGGTAACATCGTGCGATAAAAGTGAATGTTCTCCTCCCAAGCAGGTCATTTATTTTGCGTTTGCCTCAGCAGCATGAAGCGATGGTCATGTGGCGCACAAGCTACCTGGAATCAGCAGCTACGAAACCTTCGCTCGCTGATTCCAACAACACAATCTCTTGTCGAAAGTGGCGCGTGCGCTCGGTGAGAAAATTATATTAAAGTCTACGGATGTGTGCTGAACAAAACAGACATTTGGATTAGTGATAATGTGGGAATCAAGTGAGCTCCGAATAATAAACCCGTTTGCACTGTCTTCCAACGGAGTATTCAGCTGCCTCGTAGTTCACTTTCACTTGAGTACAAAGTGTAAGGGCATTGTTCCTCATCGAATTTACGGGATGCTTGATGCGAAGCTAAAATTGCTACCGAAAGAGGTCCGATCTTTAACATGGGTATTTCCAATATATTTAGGATAATTGGTTTTTGGAACGCAGGTGTGCTTCCAAGCATGTCGATATGATAGAATGGAGATTCCGCTTTGATTATCGTAAACTTTCTGATTGGAAGGTTCGCAAAGATCTCGACTGTTCCTGTCTAGGTTTAGGGAACCTGATAGTATCTCAAGTCTCGTGCTTACTTTGGATGCCGTGGCAGCTCTGCATCGAACGAACCTTACAGCTGAACCATTTTTCCATTACCTGGGATTGGACTCGCACATCACGGATCAGTATTCGTATGCAGAAACCGTGTCCTTCCGAGCAATCGTCCAGCCCCATGTGGACAGCTATAGGCTGTTTGATGATTTCAACTTAGAATAATTATCCGGATTTAATCAGGGGTGCAACGACAAGAATTCCCTTTGGTAACTGTTTTATCCAACGATATGATGCGGTAACCAATGAGTCCGGACACTGAGCTTTTGTTTAAATTACACAATGTGACTATCGTGATCTCGGTGTTTTCTATTCTTGGGTGAGTTCAGGTATCGCTTATGAATCTGACTGACGTTCGTTAGTCTTCACATACACTATTCCATCTTGAATTTTTGATTCGAAGACAGACACCTACTTTCACGTGATCTCAACTACTGTGATACGTGCAAAACATTGCAGTCAAATCTGCAGAAGTTGAACACATGCTCCTTTTGTTGATTCACTGAAAGACCGACCGACCACTTCAAACATCAGAACAGTTCGTAGTTCATTTTCGAAGTGTCGTCAAGTTTCTCATAGTTAATGTGTTTGTTTTGTAAATGTTGGTGGATGATATGTATGCCTTGCTATTTATGCCTGTCTATAAATGTCTTATGCGTATTTTGCGTTGTTTACAATATGTTTGCCACAACAGAGCCGTACATCGTCTCCAAGGACGATTTGTCATGTTTCCCTTCGTTTGACCAGAAAAACCACGGTACGTCACACAGTCTTGCATTTGAGAGTGAGCACAACTACGGACGAATTTATCATTACGGCCACACTTGAGAGATTCATGCAACTGGAGACGATGACTTTTCAGCAGACGCGGGTACGTGCCACCGTGAGAGCCACTGTAGAGTGCCGAAGAGCTCACTTATCCAAACTCCAGAGCGACATGTATATGGATGGAAAAATAATGGAGACACTGTCACACGAGTACGTGAATGCGATGCATCTACTGTTACTGGGATAAATAGAATCTAGTGAGCTATCCAACTGAAGGTGTGGTTATCGTCGGTGTAACTCTTCACTTTATTACAGCACTGGTCGACTGCAACCTGATTTTTAGAGGAGGTATCCATGGTGAGGCGAAAGTTGCTGAGCAGTGCCTAGCGGCCTCCATTTGATGGGTTACTGCAGAGAAACCAAATTATGAGCGGTAATCACAGGTGTGTTGTTGGTGAGTGTGGATTTCCTGTAATCGTCGAAGGTCCGAGTTGTGTAACGGGAGTTCGATAAAACAGAAAGGATCACATACCGACTGAACAGTGGTCGTTCAAAAGATGAATGGCCTAAAATTCTCTTAATTGCATAGACTTATTTCCTTGAGGGGAATCATTTGAAGAGGTTGATTGAAATGCATTTTCTGGAGAATGTGTTGACCTAGCAGGCTCCCAAAGTGTAATTTAAGTCTCAGAAAGCTAACTAACTTTATCCATTTTAAGGGATGGTCTTCTCTAATAGGGCACAGTATTATGGTATAGGAACCTAATCGAGTTAATGCATACATACTGGAGGATGTATTTCTTGACAGTCGTGCTCTCTGAAGTACGCAAAATATTATTGATATTTATCGGAATCGGGTACGATCAACGGCGACCTGAGAACGAGCGCACGAATCCCCAGCTATGACGCGAGCCCAACCACTGCTAGCGCAGAAAGAGAAGAAGACCAGACCTTCAGAAGAGGGTTTTTACTGCGTCAACCGAAGGCGAATTACAGTGACAGCAACATCGTATATATATATATATATATATATATATATTCGGGCGACCTTGGGGAGGGATAAATCAGTTAGTGTACACAAAGTATAACTGGCCAACAGGAAAAGGGCGCAGTCTTTTTAGATTAAGGTGCAACATGGCGGAAAAGGTGCGAAATTTAAAAATTCAAAATTTT